TACAAATTTTCATTAAATATCGAAGTATCCATTTTTATTAAAAAAAAGCGCCGCAGGCGAAAATGTGTAATAAAAAATACTTCGATATATAATAAAAATTTGTAATAAATAATCGCGCGATTTTTTACTACAAATTTGCGCCTGCGGCGCTTTTTTTAAACAAAAATCGATACTTCGATATATAATGAAAATTTGTAATAAAAAATCGCGCGATATCCTTTCGATACTTCGATATATAATGAGAATTTTCAGCTGTTTAGTTATTTCCACAATTAATTATCCCACATAACAGTCTGTACTCCGTGTAAACATATTCAATATTTATTCCATTCAGATTGAGTGGCAATACCGCACATTAGCAGGTGAATTTTGCGTTGAGCACACCCATGAACCAATTAGAACAGATCTGACCGGTTGAGAAGCAGCCATTTGTAATAGCAATTGAGAAAAAAAGTGTGTGACGTTCGTAATTTTAAAGTTTGCTATTTCTGTTTTGCTTGTTTCTTTATGTGTATTTTGTCGGTGGTTTATTTCAGTGATTTTTAAGCGATTTTCAAAAAAATGTGTTGTCCAATTGTAATTAAAATGAAGTGCGCGGTGATTGGATGCAAAAACACGTACAAAAATAATAAATTGTATAGTAGCTTCTCCAGTAAAACATTGCAGCGAGAGCGTAAAAGCAAAATAGAGCGTAAAATTGAGAAGAGAAAACTAGCAGAAAAAGTTATTGAACGCAAAACAAGTCAAAACCTGCAAGTGAATAGTTGTTGCACCCTTTTGATATTCTGCTGTAAACATTTTACTATTTATAAATCAGTTTTAAACTCTTTGCTTTACACCAGAGATCGAAAATAACCGTCACCAAGTGTCCCGTATGGTGTTTACCACTGACACAAACACTCGTCTCTCAAGCAAAGAGTGTTTCCCACCGTGGCAAATCACTCTGTGCGATCTTTTTGTGTTTTCCGTTGTGGGTTATTTATCAACAGCTAAAATTTCCCTTGGGCAAAAACACTTTGGCAGGGACTTTTATTTTTAAGTGTCTTAATTTGTGGGTTATTGTAGGACTGAAAAATATAAGTGGGCGTAATAAGTGGAAGCAAAGCGCTAGGCATTTCTTTACACGACATATACGTACACATACATGTGCGAACATTTATGACAAAGAAGAGAGCGTGCACATTCTTAATATGATACACCGAAAATAAGCTATTTTATTTTATTGATAAAGAAAAGGATAAAGGCAAAGGCAAAAATAAAAACAAAAACAAAGATGCGTAAAGATAAATGCAAAAATCAAGACCAAAGTAAATTTAAAATTTTTACTAATATAAGGGCAAAGGTGAAGGGGAATATGTAATGTAGAAATTGATAAACATAAAGATGATAAAGATAAATATGAAGAAAAGATGAGGGCGAGTAAAGATGAAAATAAAGGAGGAAAGATTAAAATAAAGGTAATTATAAAGAAAATGATATAGTCACAGAGACTCAACTTGGGAACTATTTCGGGATTTTCAGTACTCTCGGGACTACTACTTGTCCCAAAAATCCCGAATTAGTCCCGAAGATTCCGAAATCCTGAAGAAGTCTCGAAAATTCCGAATTAGTGCCGCTGATCCCGAAAATCTCAAAGTAGTCACGAAAATCCCGAATTAGTCCCGAGAATCATAGTTCCGAAGATTCCGAAAATCCTGAAGAAGTCCGAAAATTCCGAATTAGCGCCGCGGATCCCGAAAATCTCAAAGTAGTCCCGAAAATCCCGAATTAGGTCCAAGAATCCCGAAATAGCCCAAGAATCTCGAAGAAGTCCCGAAGATTCCGAAAATCATGAGAAGTCTCGAAAATTTCGAATTAGTGCCGCGGATCCCGAAAATCTCAAAGTAGTCTCGAAAATCCCGAATTAGTCCCGAGATTCCCGAAATAGCCCAAAAATCCCGAAGTAGTCCCGAAGATTCCGAAAATCCTGAAGAAGTCTCGAAAATCCCAAAATAGCCCAAAAATCCCGAAATAGTCTCGAAAATCTCGAATTAGTCCCAAGGATCCCGAAGATTTTCGTGGAACTGGAAGTTGGAAGATACTTAAATATCTTATTTGCGTCGCATAACAAAAGTATGTATTATTTAAATGAAAAATTACAAATCAAATTGATTTGCTCTACAAATCAAATCAAAAATTTGTATTTCTTATTTGGTTGAAAAAACAAATCAAAAATAAATTTTATTTTTTATTTGGTCAACAAACTAAATCATAAAAATTTCTTAATTGATAGCGGATTTTAAATCAATAACATCACCGTGACGTTGACGTTGCTTATATCTCTCTATCAACAGCAAATTTGATATGTTTCTACGCACTTCTAACACTTATTTTTCTTCTTCCAGCGATAAGTGTCCGTGTCCAACAGCAACGGAAATTATATGCAAAATAACCCTTTCCCACTGAGAGGAGCGCACATCTACAAAAAATAAACCACCTGTTCTGTTTTGGGACACTTTCAAAGTGTTGACGGTTATTTTCGACCTCTGCTTTACACACAAGCACTTACACAGTCTAGTACATCATTAATATTTTAATTTCCACTCATTTTACTTTTGTTTGTGCTAAAACAATTCAACAAATGGCGGCTTTTGACATTTATTCTTCTTCTTCTTCTGCTAGCTAATTTCTGCTAGTAAAAATTTCACTAGCAAGAATTTGCAGCTCTCCCTTCAGTGCTCTCTTGCAAATTTTTTGGGTTATACACTTTTCCAGTAAAAATTTGCAGGTTCCAGTACAAATTAGTACTGACTATTGGTTACTATACAAACCTATTGCTTGCATTTTTTTCTTTATGCTTCCTCTTCATATTCTTTGTTTACTTTTCACAGAAAATAACATGGCGCCGAAATTACAAACGTCAGCCAGAAAATTACTTTTTTCTTTTGCTTCATCATGTCAGATCTTGTGTAGTTGGATCATGGAGCACACCCATTATTTAATAATACAAGGTTAGATAATTATTGACAGCCGCGGTTTGACACTCCCTTACAAAAGGTTGCATTTATGAAGGACAGAGAAAGGGGAAGAATGCAATCCCTTGTTGCGAAAATGGTAGTAGAAAAGTACTCAAAGTAGGCAATTAGTAGTGAAATTCATTTTGCAAATTCTAATGTATTTGCAGGAAATCTGGCAGTTTACACGAAATATTGAACGAAATATTAATACATCCACGTGAATTACGTAGTTTATGTGCTATTTAGCTGTATAAAAAATGCAAAAGGACTCAAAATTAAAATAAAACTACTATGAGATTTATGTAAACATCCAATTTAAAAACAATTTGGGGTTTCATCAGTTAAATGTGCTTCATATGCATATACAAATAAACATATTGCACAAAAGCTTATACTTCTATTTCACAGCAAAGCTACACTTTTTCCAAGTAAATTTGCAAAGAAGCAACACTCTGCCACTGCTAAGGGAACGGTGCGAGAGAGACAACTGTTAGTTTATCGAACCTTAGTTATACATGTTTTAGAGGATACCTTCCTTAACATCCTGACCAAGTTTCAAATGTTAATTCCACCTGGTTTTCTTAAAACACAAGGTGCGGCTGACTACTAAAGTCCACCCAAAAGCGGTCCACGGACACTGCCTTGAGGCACCCCAGAAGTAGCAACAAACGGAGCAGACCTGCAGTTTTCAATTTCAACATGAACATGAAATATGGAACACATATGTATATACATAACTAACCAATTTAAGAAAACTGAATGAGTACCAAAGTTTCTTATTTTATGAAACAAAATTGAATATGATACCTTATCCAACGCGTCGGAAAAATCTGCATAGATGCAATCAACTTTTGAATATTTGTCTGCACAAAATAAACACAATTGGGCGATGGTAATAAATGGCAAGAAAATATGGCGTATTGACATGCCATTGAGAATAGATGACATTAATTCGATAATTTCGATAACTACGATATGCTAAATTATTGGGTGTGTATAATAACAAATAGTCAGTAATAGTTTGGACTGCAACCTGCAAAGTTTTCCACGACAGCTGGGTCTACGTAATAGGAAAGACCCAGATTTATATCTGGCCAAGGACCGTCACTCCAGCAACACTCCCCAAAAGACTCTTGTAGAATTTGTATACTGTTACAACAACAATGCCTATCGACGCCGCCCGCTTTCCTGGCCTCAGGCTTGTAGAGTCTGAGGACGAATACGGCCCATGACAACAACAACAACCCATTTTTGCAACAGACACATATGCCCGTTCCATTATTTCGTGATGATTCGAACGTAGCTCGAACGGAAATTTCATTTTGAGATCGCGGCATTCGATAGTGCATGTGATCATTTAAATTGTATTGTAGAGAAAACAGTCGCCATTTTGTTTGATCGATTCGAAACGAGTAATCACTCGATCACGATTGCTGCGATTTGGGCCCAGATTTTGAAATCATCGTACAGTTCCATAAGTAAAAGCACTATCAGATGTTTGCCAAAAAATGCCTCCAGCTGGGATCACCTGTTTTTGGCATTTGCTATTTTCGGAACAAGTAAAGAATACCCGTTTCGCTAGAAAAAAAAAAAAACTAAAAATAGGGGCCGATAGAGCTTTTTGTGCTGATTATAACGATACTTAAATTTACTTGCGGAAATTAAACCTAACCGCGATACCGAAGGTCAGAGATCAAAATTTGCTTTTTGAAAAACCGAAATATTTCAAAAACGAGTGAAGCGTTTGTAAAAGTTAATTTGCAGTTTCAAGGAAAATTAATACACCTTTCTTTTGGTGTTGACGCCTTGAACCTTACGTTTCAAATTTCTGATAAAAATTGGCTTTTATAAAAAATATATGAAAAAATTCCCTTCAAAATGCTTTTTCTACAAAAGTAGCCTTATGAGGGCACTGTTATAGTACTTTTGGTGTAAAGAAAATTTATATTTATAACCCTCACTAAGCAGAATTCTCCTTTCTGTGTTGCCGAAGAATAAGGGCTGAAAACCATTTTGCGAAGGCGGCCGAGCTTAGGAATTATACCCCTCACTAAGTAGAATTCTCTTTTCTGTATTGCCGAAGAAGAGGGTCTCAACGCCTTTTGCAGAGAACAAATTTTTGCGTAGGCGGCCTTCGGCCGCGCTTAGGGATTATAACCCTCACTTAGTAGAATTTTTCTTTCCCTGTTGCCGAAGAAGAAGGGCTGAACATCTTTTGTAGGGAACACCTCTCTGCGTAGGCGGCCTACGGCCGAGTTTAGGGATTATAACCCTCACTAAGTAGAATTCTCCTTTCTGTGTTGCCGAAGAAGAAGGGCTGAACACCTTTTGTAGGGGACACCTTTCCACACAAATGACCGCAAATTTGTTAAAATAAATTATAAAGTAATGATGTAACAAAATCGCCGGAATTGGTCAGTCGAGGTAACGTAAAAGCAAAATATATAGTAAAATGCAAAGATAAAGTAGTCATATGATACATCACACAAAAGAAAAATCAAATAAATTTTTTTGGGAAAAAATCCATAAACACAAATTTGTTTGCGTATATTTTTATTGTCTCTTTTTTCCACAAATATCATACACAAATTCACAAAATATGTATACCAAACGAAATATGTTTAAAATACCTATCGAACGCGGTGCTTAATTTTTCAAACAGTTAATTGGATTCGAAGATATTAACAGTTTTCGAAATCCAAAATTTCATCTTTTACCCTAAATATCTTCCACAACTTTTATTCCCGCAATATAAAATTGGTATATGTGTGCTCAGCATTTAAAACTATTAGACCCCATTCCTCGTTTTTCTCTATCGAAACGGTGGGTATTCGTTACTTATGCCCTATTTTCTTTTACAATTTCTTCCATTTCTATTACAATTTATTCTGAATGCACCAATACGCTTACCGAATTTCAGTGGGTTGGCACAGCTCTGATGCTAAAAAAAAAAATAAATAAAAAACTCTACGTATTTGCTTACATTTATTAGCGGCTAATGTAACTATTTACCAATGCGCATATAATACAGTAGGTATTATTACATGTTTTTAAATTTAATAGAAAATTGCACATATTTAAATCCTATGAGTTAGAATTATTTCCAATATAATGTAAATGAATTCCATGAATTTCATCAGTAGATTTATTTGTCTGAGAAGAAAATAACATTTAACACTCTTTTGTTTTATTTAGAACCATAATTAAAATATCAGCTTTTAGTTTATCTTGTTCCGCTCCTGGCAATTTAGCAAGATATGTATCCAGTAACCCGAAGAAATCACTGTTGTTGGTTTTCTCCCTTTCCTTTATACGCCCTTTAATGTATTCATTTAAAGTTCCAACCAAAGAATCGAATTTCGCCTGTGCGTTCGGGGCATGAGCACTTGGTTTTGAACGTTCTGCTCTTCGATATGACTGACTAATTAGTGGCTCATTTATTGGCGGTTCTATCAAAGCTTCAACTAAAAATGTTTTCGCTGCGGTTGGACTCTCAGTTACATCTTGTTCTTCAAACATATAATCTATGTCATCATCGCAAGGTCTCTTTAGTGATGAATTACATGGTTCTTCCTCGGATGCAAAACTGTCGTTATTATAAAAGTTTTCATCCTGTGACTCTTCTTTTAGAGTTCTCGTTGTGTCACGAGATTTTGCTGAAGAGTTAGATGAATAATTTTTCCTGATTGTTCTATTGAAATGAAATTAACTTAAAATATATATAAAACTACAATACATTCAATAAAAACATACATGCAATCCTGTAAAAAGTTCAAATCTTCCATATGCCTCCAATCACTGCTAGCATCGGTTTTAATTTCTCTAACATATCGGTCCCGCAGAGATTTCCACCGGTTTTGGCATCTTTCGACTAAACGGCAGGAAAATATATATTTTTACTGAAATTGCTGGGAAATCATCGGATATTTGTAGAATGCTTTTGTAGGTGGGAGCGGAGGGGGAGGTGGTGTGGCACAGTCCAAACTCTAAGTAGTCATCCTTCCTGCTGTTGTAGTAGCGGCTACCAAACCCCGCTCGAGTCGGCTCATCCGTCAACGTTGTGTTGTTGTTGTAGCGGATACAACAACCCCGCCCAGATCGGTTAATATCTCAGTCGTTGTCGTCAAGTTCCACTAACGGCAGCCCTAAAAAGCGTGCAGCCTGGATAGGGTCGGTCCACATGGGGACTAAGGCGTTAGGGTTGTCGGGTTTTCCGGGAATACGAAGAGATGTTTCGAGTCATAGGGTGTATCTCCGCATGCCCGACACTCATTTGGTACATCTGCGTTTAGTCTTCTCAGGTATGAGTTTAACCTTCTGCAGTAGACAGAGCGAAGTTTGGCTATTGTAGTTCTAGTCTTCCGAGGTAGATGAAGCTACGTCTCGTCAATGTCCGGTGGTTGTGCGCCTAGAATGGCATTCGCAGGTCTGGAGTCTACATAACTCGAGACTGACACCCTGTGAATGCCGTTCAGGGACTGCCGATAAGCTGACGGGTCCAGAGGTTGGTTAATGAACCTCTGGACTTCGTCCGTCAGTTCGTAGAGATGCCTCCTGACGTACCTGGGCGAGGGCTCTTCTGTAAGCAGCTGCCCATTTGGGTGACCACGTCTATGGCTCCCAACAAGGAACTGCTTGCAGAGCATTTTATTGTGCTAATTGATCGGGAGCAATTTCACCTCGTCGTGTAGGTGGTGTTCAGGCGACATCAGAAGGCATCCAGTCGCTATCCGGAGTGCGGTATTTTGCGTAGTCTACAGCTTCATCCCCTGCGTCCTACTAGTCCCCGGCGACCACACTGGTGCTGCGTAATTTAAAACCGGCCGGCATATTGCCTTGTATGTTGCCAGCAACGTTTCTTAGTCTTTGCCCCAAGCACTGCCGGCTGGCGACTTGAGGACCTTGTTGCGGCTCCACACTTTGTTGACAATAGCGGTTGCGTGCACAGAGGAGACCAGACTGTCGAAGCTTACTCCGATTATTTTGGGGTTATTCACCGCCGGAATTGGTGTATCATCGACGTGAATTCCCAGTGGTAGCCTGACCTCCTTCGTCCAGGTGGTGAACAAGGTCGCAGAGGATTTCGTAGGGGAGAGGGTTAGGCTCCTTGCAGTGAAGAAGCGAGAAAGCTCGGAGAGATACCCGTTTACTTTCGAACACAAGTCATCAATTCCATTCCCAGTCGCCATGATCGAGCAATCGTCGGAGTAAGAGACAATCGAGACTCCCTCTGATGGTTGAGGGAGCTTTGAAATATAAAAGTTAAACAGTAGCGGGGAAAGGACACATATTACCGACGAGTGTCGACCAAATCGCGGAGGTAACCGTTTACTTTCGAGATCAAGTCATCAATTCCATTCCCATACGCCTTATGGAGAAGTCCTAAAGGGGGCAAGGGGAGTGCATATTTCCAACAGAATTTATTAATAAATTAGTGGTCGGAAATTTAAAGTTTAATCCTCTGGCTACACGCGTATAAGATTTTCGGAATCGTGTCGCACATTTGACAACAACCCAAAATCACTGTGTACAATTAACCGAACCGTGCCCAAATTACTTACTTGTTTCTCCAGTTTCCATAGCTACACTTCGCCAACATCTTTTAGTGATTTCCGGAGACTTTTCTGATTGCCTGCTGCTTCTATCATATAAGCAAGGATATTGCCGAACCGCCTTAATCAAATCATCTTCAAACATGTTAGCTAGCTGCAAATGTCGAGTGTGTGTATATTCGTAAACAAATTTAAAATTATCCAAATAAGTTTACCACAAAAATTTATGTTCTCTTTTAGCATAAACAAAACTTTTTAGCTTCTGATGCCTATATCGGAAAAAGTCGATGCATCGAACATATCGATGTTTTGCTTGAAAGCTTCGAAAATTTTACACTCGATTATGTGTCATTGTGCATATTTAACTGGCCTTCTTCACGTGCTGGAAAATCTCCAAGGCGAATTTATACAAGGTGGTGTTGGCAGAACAAAAACAAACCTTACAATCGTGCTGTTCAGGATCATGATTCAATAATAAATTTAAAGGTTAGATGGGTACTCTTTATGAATTTGTACAAAGATTTTGGGTTGCTGTGCCCAAACGCGTGAATCGAATCAAAAACCTTTTACACATTTGTAGACAACAGTTCACGCTTTATTACAAAAATAAAATTTACTATAACTGTGCACTAATTTATTAATAATATCTGCGTTCGATAACAAAAATAGCCAACACCAGCCAACAATCAAAATCAAGAGAGTAAGCGAAAATTCTCTCCCAAAGAGATGAAAAAGCAAAAAAGTTAACGAACAGGAAATTAGCCATTACTTGCAAAAACCGGAAGAAGAAGACACACCAGCTGACTTTGTTTATGTTTTATTTGTAAACAAACTGAAATTCATGTTGCCTCCATAGAGAAAAAGGTTCGCCCGGAACATTTCTAGAAGTAAAAACTAGTTGGCGCTATCATAAAGTCACATAGCAGGCAGCTAAAAAGCATATAAATACCAAAACTCGGAAAATGCAATTTTGTTTGTTTACAGAAATTGCAACCATATGTTTTGTGATCATATGTTTTCGTGTTGGATAATTTTTGCTGACTAAAATTTTGCCAGTACAAAATGAACGCTTCTCTTGCAACAAAATGAACGCTTGCTCTCTCAATTTCTGTGTGTTAGATAATTTTTTGTCGTTATCGAACGCCATCCAGTAAAAATTTGGAAAAACTATTACAAATTTTTGACTTGTCGAACGCACCTTATGTCGGTTGGAAATATGGTATTTTTTGTAAGTTTCCGAGCTGAGCTGTCACCACGTAATATCTCTGCAAAAGTAGTTCAGCCCCTCTTCTTTAGCAAAACAGAAAGAAGAATTCTACTTAGTGAGGGTTATAATCCCTAAGCGCGGCCGAAGGCCGCCTACGCAGAAGTGTTCTCTGCAAAAGGTGTTCAGCCCCTTTTCTTCGGCAAAACAGAAAGGAGAATTCTACTTAGTGAGGGTTATAATCCCTAAAGGCTCTGTTATGCATACTTGGCAGTGCATGCACTGCTATACCATTTTTACGTGGAAATCAAAAACCAACAGACTTCTACGTATGTAATGCTGTGCGTTGGGTAACAGCTTACACGCGAAGCTCATTTAACGGATTCCTTATGTGACAACTCTCAAGCAATGCCAAGTATGCATAACAGAGCCTTAAGCGCGGCCGAAGGCCGACTACGCAGAAAGGTGCTCTCTGCAAAAGGTGTTCAGCCCCTCTTCTCGGGCAACAGAGAAAGGAGTAGTGAGGGTTATAATCGTTTTGGAAAAAATCCAAATTTCCGCTGCTTTCAATCAGCTCCCTATGGGTCTTCAGGCGAGGGAGGGGGGTGAGGGGTGACTTTTCATAAAGCGGCGTCCATCCTCTTTCGTTTAGGAGGGTTTGGGGAGCCACGCCTCCTCCCCCTCCGCCCCCAACCCTAAATCGTTGTACAAATAGCTAAAGATTTCCCGGTTAGATAATTATTGACAGCCGCGGTTTGACACTCCTTTACAAAAGGTTGCGTTTACGAAGGACGGAGAAAGTGGAGGAATTAAATCGCTTGATGCGAAAATGGTAGCAGAAAAGTTTGCAAAGTAGGCGTTACTTTTTATCGAAAAAAATTTCACCTTCTTATCTATATGGCAACATTAACAGAGTGCAACATTTTAGGGCAAGAGTACGCCATATGCCCTGCGCAGGGCTGAATAAATGCAACATTATTTCGAGAAAAGGAAACGATATTAGTAGTCAAATTCTTATGTATTTGCAGGAAATTTTGGCATTTTAAACGAAATATGGAACGAAATATTAAGGCTTAAAATTAAAATAAAACTATTATGATTTCTATGATAACATCGAATTTAAAAAGCAATTTATGTTTTCATCAATTAAGTGTGCTTTATACGCATCTACAAATAAACATATGGTACAAAAACCTACCCTTCTATTTCAAATGTAGGGCCCTATTATCGTTCGCGAGTCGAATTAAAAATTAGTCGAATAGCCCGATTTCATATTATTGTTCGCAGTTTGCCTGCTGCTCGCCCGTGACATTCGCGTCTTAGGTCGAATATTCAAATTTTGAAATTACGAAATACCATTCGACTAGACAACGTTCGCCTTAGCTTTCAAAAACTGGCGAAGGAAATTTGTGCGTGATAATAAATAAAATAAAATCTAAAAATATAAAAAATATGTTGCAAATTGAAAATAAAAGGTACATACATGCATATATTAATAAAAAAGGGTAATTTGTGCAAATATATATGTAAATAATTTTGACAATATTTAAGCAGCATGAAGAAAACGAATACGCGGCAATTTGAAAAAATGGTGCAAATGATGCGGGAGCATCCAAATGTAGCTCGAGGACTTGGTGCTTTCGGGTCCAATAAAAAGGATACAGTCAACAGAAGGTTGACTCTCTTCTAGGCTTAGAAAGAGCAGCGAATTCTGAAGGCGTAAGTCATGGTGCCAGCAACAGTACCAGTGCACTTGTTTCAGAAAATTGTACTGAAGAGGAAAATCTTCAAAGCGAGGTTGAAACTACCCCTCGCAGGAGAGTGCGTTCGTCCATAGTAAATGCGGATGTAAGGGAAAACGATCTAATTGAGATGCTGAAGCAGCAGACGCTTAATCAGGAGGAGTTACTAAAAGTGGTAAGAGGCCTGGATGAAAAAATGCACGACATTGGAAGATATGCGCGGAAAACTTTTGAAATTTTGAAACAAAAAGAAGCTCGTGAGGGGAGGGAACACTACGAACGGATCCAGCTGCAAAAGCTAAAACTCGATATAAAGCTCCGGGAGCTTGAGTTGAAAGAACTAAAGTATAAAAAGCATTTATAAAAAAATTGTACTGTTCAAGCAAGGTTTTAAAAGAAAGTTTAGATTCTTGATTACAAGTGAGATAAAAATTTTTTTGAGCAGGTCACCCATTCGGACACAAAAGTCCGAAATAATTGGGCAAATAACCAAACCGTTTATTACATTCTAACAACACTCATATATTTGTAAATATGAACGATAAAATAAAAGACTGCCAGATGTTCCTTCCGAAGCAAAATAATCACTTGGTTTTATTTGTGCACTATTTATATAAGTGAAATATAATTTTCTTTTCACGCATTCACTCAATGTAAAAAAAACATCAAATTTTTATCTCCAATTATTCTCTACTTCATCTCCACTATTCATGGCTAACGTGACGTCATCACCCGAAGGGATGCGCAATCTGTATTCTATTTCGAAAACAACCAGTGTAAAGCATCATAAAACTTAGAGAAAGAAAAATTTCAATAAAGATCGAAATTGTCCAGATGTAATGCAGTCTAAATTACAAATGTACTTATCTTCACCTCTAATACTGACTAAAAGTGATACCATTGAAATATGGCAAGAGTTGAAACAATTCTTTAAAAAAGAAAAGTTTAAATAACAACCGAACTTGTCCAGATATGATGCAGTCTGAATTACAAATGCACTTATCTTCAAGTAATAAATAGGAGTGGGTTAGTGAAAAACTGTCAGTGTATTGAAAATAGCCCCGTGACTTTTTCATATTAATGGAAATTTCGTCGTTGATGTCATCTGCATGACTAAGTGATCAATAATGACATTCAAGCGGCAGTATCTTGCAATGGACTTTTTATAAGTGACCGCTGCAAGACATTGTCTGTTATAAGTCTTTGATAGGAGTATACCTGTATGACATTTTCACCAGTGTCATTGTCAGCTATATGTCGTTTAGGATTCACAGCAGGTGCGACGATGTCACTAAATCCTCATTAATCCTGATACGCAGTTCAATGCGATGGTGATCGTGAGCTTTTTTATTTTAACCAATATCTTCGTTATTACTCAAATTTTCCTATAGTTGAGACATGAAAAGATAGAGAATTAAAATATTTTTCAGAATTATAGAATAAAACCTAATTTAAAATGCGTAATATGCCTTTTAGACGGCAAGTTTTGATAGCTGTGTGTAAGCGTCCATAAAAATACAAATGGAATTCTTTGCCTTTGCGAATGTTCACGCTCCCGCTCTCATTCAACTGTATATCAAGCTGTAGTGACGATGTCACCGGTGACCATTTTCGCTACTGCGAGAAAGGGCAAAATTGAATGTGTAACGTCCTGGTTACACAGTTCAAACATAGAATTCAAATCCATGAACCAATTAGAACAGATCTGACCGCTTGAGAAGCAGCCATTTGTAATAGCAATTGAGAAAAATGTGTGTGACGTTCGTAATTTTAAAGTTTGCTATTTCTGTTTTGCTTCTTTATTTATGTGTATTTTGTCGGTAGTTTATTTCAGTGAGTTTTAAGTGATTTTTTGTGTAAAAGTAATTGAAATAAAGTGCGGGGTGATTGGATGCAAAAACACGTACAAAAATAATAAATTGGTAAGCACAAACATGTGAACAACATTGCTTGCATTTTTTCTTTATGCTTCGTCTTCATATTCTTTGTTTACTTTTCACAGAAAATAACATGGCGCCGAAATTACAAACGTCAGCCAGAAAATTACTTTTTTCTTTGCTTCATCTTGTAAGATCTTGTGTAGTTAGATCATGATTCAAATCTGCTCGCATTTGGAAGAGAGGGTGTAATAACCGGCCGTCTTCACATGCTTGAAAATCTCGCTTGCGTTCTGCTTTTTTCTCTCGCAAGCGAGATAGTTTTGTTGACTGGCCATTTGACAGCATACTTTTTCATTTGTAAAATGTCGTTAACCAAGAAGGTTCAAGCTTTGCAGGCTCTTAAAAGTTTAAGAAAATTAGAAAATCTGCATAAAGAGATGTATACTATTTTCAAATGAAAAATGGCTGCCTATAAATTTGTATTTGCCTCCAAAATAAACGA